TAAAATTTTACATTTTAGGAATATTTAAGCTGTGTTTTCTAAAAATAAATTAAGAAATAAAATTACAGACAAAATTGTTTCTATCTTTTGTACTCACTGTATAGTTAGTTACTTGCTTAAAACTGTAATCCAAAACAAAGCTCTACAAGTCCAATAATTAAGTTTAATATTAGAATGAAATTCAATTTGCAAATTTTTAGTAAAGTAGAACAGGAAAAAATCTGTTTTGTTTAAAATTAAATCAGATTTACACATTATTTTTTTGTGTTATAAAGTTAAAAAAAAGCTTTCTCTCATANTTTGAAAATCGCGTAACTCCGATATACAGACGTCTTGCTTTCCATCCATCCTATGGGGTGTTTCTGCTTTTATCTACTGGAACAAGCGCTGGAAAATGCAGATTTCGGAAACTTCGGAAAGAAGAAGAAGAAGAAGAAGAAGAAGAAGGATGGATGGATGGATGGAAAGCCAGACGTCTGTATATCACCAGTTCCTTTTTAAAATTTTTAAATAATTTTATGGTAAATAAAATGTAACAAAACAAAGTAATTCAATAGAAAAGAAAATTTTATGAAAGCTTTGGAAGTAGTCTTCCCACAGAACTGGCAGTACAGTGGAACCTCGGTATACGACCTTAATCCGTTCCCGATGTTTGGACTTATACCGAATTGGACGTATATCGAACCAATCTTTCCCATAAGAAGTAATGTAAAAATGATTAATCTGTTTTTGTGTAAAAAAATGGCTGGCTTTAAACACCTCGCTTTCCTGGCTAGTTCCTGCTTGATTTTTCGTGAGATCAGCGTGTATCTTTTTAGCTTTCTCCCAAATAATTGCTTCCAATATGCTGTCTCCAGCACTGTTTTTCAGTTATCCAAAGCAAAAGCAATTTCTCGACATGATCTAATGTCTTCGATCTCTGTTTAAAAATTGATTTAACCCCTTTCGCAACATTAGCAGATTTAATGATGTCTTTATTTTTCTACGATTGTCCATGTTGTCGTTCTCGGAATACGGTAAACAACAGTTAAAATCTCGAACACGCGTGCCACCTTCGTAGTTCTCAACAATCTCTTTCATCGGTTCCATTGTAATTCTAGTCATTTTTTTAATTTTCTGTCGCTTTTCATTTGCTTTTTTGCGATTTGTGATTAATAAAAATAATAAAATTTTACTTACGAATTAAAATCAAAAGAAATTTAACAAAGTTATAAACCGTTGCACCGCAAATGTCTAGTCTGGTCTAGTACACCGATAGTGCTACTTGTTCATTGATGGCGCATATAATTGAATTATGTCGTATACCGAGCAAAATTTGTTTCGTCCAAACAGGATATAATTCGAATTGGACATTTTCTAAAGCAGACGTATACCACTGTATACGTCTGCTTTAGTACCACTGTATTTGATAATGTTTTTTGAAGTGAAACTTCTTTGCTAGCTTTGAAATGAACTGCCAAAATATTATAAGGCTAGTAAATAATTATTTACTGCCTTATAAAAGCCCATAATAATTTAGCAGTTCATTTGGAAACTAATGTCTCAAGTTGGTGGTTGTTTATATTCTTTGCTAGTATAAATAAAACTTGTTAATGGAGATGGAAGTGACATCATCACAAGTTAATCACTTCCAAAGGTTTGTACAGAGTATCACATTTAACCATAGACTTTTTGGCTTTTTAGCATGTTCCACTATAGTAGTAAAGTGTGCTTACGTTAGGACTTTGTGTCTGTTGGACATTATATATTTGAGATTATGATTCGTTCAATCCATTCATTGTGCAAGTGCAAAAGGGAACTGAACATTTTTGTTTATGGTCACTGTAAGCTATAGTAAAAACTACCTGGTTCCTCTGGAATCAATAAACCACATTCCTTACTGTATATTTGGTGAATTCTTCTGAACAACAAGAATTTATAAAATTTATTTTGAACAAAATTAATATTTGATTCATTTTTGTGGAGCATGCTATCAGATCGGCTTGACCAATTTTGTTTAGTTGATAGGAAGGTCATCAACTATAGGATTTCCATATGATTGAGTTACAATTTTACATGTTGTTATTTTTGCTTACAAGATGATGATGTCTAGGAAATAGTTTAGTTAAAGATTCTCATAGTTGATATTTGACATTAATGATTTTTTAAATTGTTTCAATGACAAAATACATGATTTAAATGTAAGGACATACTGATATGCAAACTAATTACTAAGTTGACAAGTGCCCAGTATTGAACAATGAAGTCAAAAATATGCTAGGAACTAATAAACTTGAAAGTACATACATTGAATCTTATATTAAAATTAGATTTAAACGTCTTTCAGTTCCTTCATGTGCCAGTGATGAGTATTTTTTTTTTTTTTTTTTAATCAAGATAGCACTTCATGACAAGAGTAAATACCATTGTGAGAAGCATCTATTGGTTTAAGCATGTACAAAAGATGAAATTTGTTTGATTTTATGTTCAGTTTCAAAAATTACAGAAAATATTTGTTTTTTCACATTGCATTGTATTTTGTACATGCAGTAAGTTTACTTGAATTCTTTCAACAATGATACTTTTACAGTGTTACGTTTATAATTAGGGAATAATAGTATCAGTATACAAACAGATGAAGATACCAGATGATATGATTTCTAAGATTTGAAATCGTACTGATGAATGGCAATAAATATACCTGTCCCACATAATAATAACTCTAATAATGATGATAATAATTCTTGTCATTTGTACTCAAAAGATGAATATGAAACTAAGTGATAAAGTTAACGTGAATTAATAAAAAATTAAATAGATCATTTTCACATGAAGATTGAGGTCCTGCAGTATGATTTTTTGTCTTCGATGAAGTTTGGCTTGCAAGAGTTCCAGAACAGGAAAAAATACATATATATAATAAAAGTAAATGCTAGAAACTAAGTGTATTTAAAAAATTTTATTTAATTGTATATGTTAACAGTTAAAATTTTTGATTGGCTTGATTTTTAAGGTTATAAAAAATCATTATTTAACACTTGCATGAAATATGAGTACAGTATGTTGCTTAATTTCACATTATTACTTGCATTTTAATGAATCATTTCAGGATTGTTGTTTTTTTTATGATGATACAGTATATACTTGATTGAATATTTTGCTTTGGTTGCAAATTTTTTGGGATATACAGTAGAGTGTTGTTTATCCGAATCAATTGGGGACTGGGGTTGTTCGGGGGAAATCGATATTTCGGATAATCGATTGTGTACGAAAAAAATTAAAGTGGATCATTAGAAATGTTTATTAAAAAGATTTTTTTTAATTATTTATAACTGTAAGCTTTTTTAAATAAGAGAATTTTATCTGTAATTCCTTTAAATTTTCAATGAAAACACTTTTGTTGCTCATCATTTATATAATAGAGATTGTGATATAAGTAAAATGGTTATATAGTTAAGTAAAAAGTCATTAATAATTATCTGAAAATTTGGTAATATTTTTTATTTAGAGAAACAAATATTTATTGTGACATGTCACAATGCCCTGCCAGGCTAAAATTTTAATCATATTTTTAATTTAAAATATGTGCTCTCCTCCTCAAATTAGTACTGTGGTGTCTTTTCAAATTTCAGCCCAAAAATTAGCATAAGAGAAATACTAATTATTAATCATTAATAATTAGTATTTCAGTGCAAACAAAAGAAATTAATAAAATAAATGATTACGAAATTGTGGAAAATGTTCAAAATGTATATTTAAAAAATAATCACGCTTTTACATATTTCACCATTGTGGGTTCTCATTATTTTATGCATAACAAATATTCATTTCTAGTGCATCTGAAATTATTTTCATTGATTAGTTTATCCACACTGTAAGTTGAAAATAATTAGCATGTAAAAACATGCTAATTATTTTCAACTTACTTATTGGTAGGTTGCATTTTATTTTCAACTTACTTATTGGTAGGTTGCGTTTTATTGTTCATTGTGTTAATATATTAATTTCTCTAGATCAAAAACTTGTTTTAAAGTTTTTATTCAGAATTTTCATTTCCTTATTTAACTACATGACTCATTAATAAATCCATTGAATTATTGTATTGCTCTAAATTGAATACCTTGATTTAATATAGCTCTTGTTGATTTATGTGACATTGAAAACAAGCCATTTGTTTCCACTTTTGATCAATACTTTTTCAATTAGTCTTGGTGTAGAAAATAACATGTAATAATAAATTTTTTTTAATTTTCTAACTTAAATTTTGAGATATCACTGAGTGATTTTATGATGTAAAATTATATTTAATAAATGGGTTGAATTATTCATACCAAAATAATTCAAGGTTGGAGAAAAAATTAAATGTAACTATATATCTTTTTGATTTAATATTTAAATTGTAACAGAATTTTAATATACAAATTATTATATACTCAGTAGGAAATAATAAATTATCTCACTGATTATTGTTCATTTGGTTTTTGAGATATATATATATATATATACACTCTCTGAGGTTGATTAATATGAGAGATGAGAGTTTAATCTATCAAATAATTCTTTTATAAAAATTTTCTTCGCAGCTTTAAGCACGTAATGAACGAAAATTATTGTTTCGTTTTACTTTTATTGTATATGTTTGTTAGTGATTTGAAAGACAAATTAATGATGTAGTATGTGACTAAATGTATTATGTTGACATCTTAAGCTTTGAGGATTCGTTTTTACTTAAATCAATATTTATTAAAGTGGATTTGTAGTTGCAGTAAAACTCAAATACAACTGCAAAACAATGTAGGATTTAAGCTGCTTTTTTTTCTTGATGTTAGCTTTCATTCTTTTTTGTTTTCTGCCACGCCACATTTATTATATTAGTATTTTTCCCTCTTCGGATTTTGAAACTTTAAAATGTATTTTAGTAAATTATTAATTGAAATGTAAGTTTGTTTATATGAAATGAAATCAGATTTTAATATAACTAATTTTCAATAGTTTATTTAAATGCATTTTAATTTTTATAGGTGTTATGTTTAGCTGTTGCCGTTGGACATGTAAATATGTCTCAAGACGAATTGGCACAAAACATAAACTTGGCTATCAACTTCTTAGTGTCGTTATTGAAGAAGAATTGGCAAAACATTCGCTCTCTTCATATAAAAAGCACCATGGGTCCACCTCAACGGCTGTATTAATTTTTATGAAAAGAGTGTATGTATTTGAAGAAATATTAAAGGTTAATATGGAACTATTATTTTGTATTTTATTTATCAGAAAAACCGTGCTTTAAAGTAAGCGTTTATAAAACTCGAATATTTTGTTGATAATTAATACAACTTACTATTCTTGAATAATGAGTATAATAAGTTGTCAGGATTATTATTTATTCATTGGGAAGATCATTGTAAAGTTATTTTGATGTTGGACCTTTATTAGTGAGAAAAACAAGAATAAGAACTGCTTTTGCAGCCAAGTGATGTGTGAACGACATGTCATTTAAGGACAGTTGAGATGATGGATGTTGATGAATGATTTGAAAGAAAGTTGACATTATCTTCGATCTTCCAATGTCGTTAATGGAAATTCGATTTTATTTATTCTTGGTTTATCAAAATAATTTGTAAAAACCAAATGTTTTCAATTATGTACAACTGATATTTTTCTTCTAAAAATGTAATCACACGTAATCTTTTTACAAGTATATTTATTATGATTATCGTATTTTAAAATAACTTATAAACAATTTAAAATGCCATTTGTGGAAATTTAAATCACTTATTCATGATTTAGCATATCGAAAATGTTAATTTTTAATAAGCACATCCAATAAATTCGCTTAAGGAAAAAAATGTTTACTAAGGAAAAAGAATGTAGCTGTTAGTGTCTAAATATGTAAAAAGATTACGATTTAATTTACTCAAATAGCTTTGAAAGGAAGCGTATCAAAGGCGCTTTTTTAAAAGCATTTCCTGTGCATGAAAGCAGATTATCCTTCGTCTGACGGTGACTTCAGTTTTTCTATCCTCACAAAATAAGCTACAACATAAATAAGTTTTAAATGTCGCGATAAACTCTCGGTCGTATACATATAAATATATATATATATATTTTTTTTTAAATCGTAAATTTAGTTGTATAAACACACGAAAATTATATTTTTAAATACATTACTAGAATTTGACTGTAAAGTATTATTTTCTAAGTTTATAAAACAATAAAAAATTTTTAAAAAATAATTTAAAATCAAAATATGTATATAGAACCTTTAAATTGGATTGACGTAATCCAAATTAATCTCGGGTGGTTAACGATTTTTCGCATTATTTTTTTTTCCTGTAATTGCAAACTTGTCAATAAAAATTCAAAAGGATCGTCTCCATTTATCATCTGCGCGAAAGAATGGAAAACTACGCATGCGTATTTGTCAACCCACCAGGATCAAATCGAGTAAATAAACGTATAGCGAAAGAGGTAAAAGCTACAGAACGTAAAGGATGTCGAAGGTGATCTGATCACTTAATTTACAAGACATTTATATAAAAAAAACGAGGATACTTATTTACAGGTAAGAATTAATGTCGTAACGGCTTAAGTTTCATTGTTTTGTGTATACCAGATGGTTTAGATATACAGTAAGAATCATATCTGTGTTCGGGTTATTTTCGCTGATACGGACACGAGATATAGAACCGTAGAAATAATTTATTATTCGCAACTTATTTGGACCCTAAACTAATTTGTTTTATATCAGGAATAAGGTATTCACTACTTAAGATTCATATTATTCAAAACAGATAATAAAAATTTATCTATAAATTTATTCAATATTATAACAATTATCGTTGAATTGTCATGTGATATTTAACATCTTGAGGCTGTTCAATCTTAAAAATATCTTGATTAAATTGCCCTAAGTGGAGCTACGATCATTTCGTTAAAATTATTTTGTGAAATTAATTAGTACTATCCGGCAATTAATCTCGAATTGATAATTATAATGGACTTGCGTGCTTTTAATTAATTGAATATATTTTTTGTAAGTTGTTTTTAGAACGTAATTGCTTTCTGAATCGAGTTTAATAGAATCACATTCATTTTTTTATCTTAAATAGTTAAATTCAATTAATAAATTAGAAATAATCCAATACTCCGGCTTTTGTAAAATTTTCTAAAGGGATTTTGTTGTTACAATACATTTAATAACGTTAAAAGCTATATCTCTATACTTTAATTACGTGTATATCTAGAGATTTGCGCTTGTTAAGTCTTGAAAAGAGCTTAAATTTCGAAAAATTATTGAAAAAAATAATAAACTAATTTCTTAAAATGTATATTTATATGAAAAATTTGTAGTTTTTATGTAAATCTATATAAACAAGTAGTAACTTTTAAGTTTAACGAAAGTAATTAAAGATAATTTCAATTGATTTAATCCAATTTTTTTTTAATAATTTCAAAAATTAATTTATTAAAATTTTCATAAAAGTAGAATGAATATGCTAAGCTGTTGCTGTATTTATATAATAAAGTATCTTCGCAGCTTAGTTGATGCTGAATTTGCTACTTTATGCCTTTCATTGAAACGATATTCTATACCTTTTCTATTGTTATGAAACCTATGACGATTTACGACATACAGTATATTGTTGAAAATAAGAGAAACCATTGTGTGAGTGGGCGTATAGCACGGCATTGTGGGGAAAATACGATAAGCAAACAATCACGTGTTCATCCTGTAGGGTGTATTCGAATAGCAAACCCAAATATTTTTATACATCAAAGGAAATTTTTAGTTAAAAAAGTTGTGGCCTCCTGCTCCTATTAATTGTGAAATGAAGATTTATCAATATTTTAATTTGAAATAGCAAATAAGTAAGCATACAGCTATCCTGAGAATTTTTCTCCGTCTTCGTTTCACATCCAATTCCCAAAATGCGCTTTCACAGAAAGTAATGGGAAAAGATTGTTTTAAAATACGATTTCATTTAAAATTGATCTGGACTCTATTGAAACTAAATTAAATTTTCACGTCCTTCCATATATATCAAATGAAAAATTTAATTCTATTACAATATTTTATTAAAGTGAATTAAATTTATCTCGATTCTGCTCAAACATAAATTTTTAAAAAAACAAACACTTTTAGTCCGTGTTTACTTAAACAACAAAACATTTAAACAGCTGCTATTAAATTCAGATCTGTCCTTTAAATTAAAATTTTGTGTGATCTTGTTTATATAAATGGGTAAATTAATATTCAAAAATTTTAAATAAAGTTTTTAAATTGAATTTTTAGTTTATTTTGTTGTTTATAAATGTATAAATTAATTTCTTTATCCCAAATTAAGTATAAACTAAGTGAAATTGTACTCAACATCTTTAGTGAAGGGTGCTGTTTTAGTAGCCATGGATACAAAATGGTAGCTATAGTTACAGTGTCCATCTGTTTTCAGACGTCAAGATTACTTATTTAATCACATTTAACACTTAGTTGTACACAAGATCATATTTATGAAAGAAACAATAATAATAAATACTAATCAGGTATGTTTTCCCTAATTAATTAATATCAAAGATATTATATTAACAAACAAATACTTAATTAGGTTGTTATATCGGTTAATTTACCGAACGGATAACCTTCGTAACCAGAAAATCGTTAAGTCTGCCGAAAAGAATTCTACATTGATAAATCATTTTAAATTTGGTATTTAATAACATATTAAATGAGCTATTTAAATATTTAATTATGTTATAATGGGGGGAGTGTCTCGACTGTCGAAGGTGTTGGCGCGATAATCTCAGGAGAAGAGTTGATACAACATATTGTGATAATGATTCACTTTTGGAGGGAAATATTACCTCAATTTAAGCGGAAGTATAACAAATATTCTTCTTGGCTGGTAATAGTATACCTATTACTTATTTCTGGTATAGAACCTAATCCAGGACCTCTGCCTAGATCTCCTCAACGTGGCGGCCACACAGATATGCAAAAGAAGGGGCGTGGGAGGCCGCGTAGTGTCATTCCTAAAGCCACAGAAAAAATAAGAATATCTGGGACTAATTCCAGTCAAGAAATTCTGCCTGAAGAACAGGAGTATGATAGAGAGGAATTAAACGAAGAGAGAACTCCAAAAATACAAGACTACTTTCATACGGTCCAGGGAGCAGACACTCCAACAACAGAAGAACAAAAATATTCGTTGAAGTCCATATACGATTTGATTCAAGAAAAATTTAATCAACTAAACATCGAATTACAAAATATCAAATCAGAAGTTAATTATCTGAAAGAAGAAAATAGAGTTTACCAATTGGAATCCAAAAGAGTAGCACAAGAATTGGAAGAAATGGATTCAATAATTAAGGATAATTCCCACACAAAAGGTGAGCTAGAGTTTGAAATAGATCAATTAGTTAATGAGAAAACGAATAAAAATATAGTAATTATTAATTTTCCGTTCGAAACTCCGGAATATCTAAAAGAAATTGAACAATTTTTATCAAGAGAACTAGGTATAACAAATAGTTCAATAGATAGTATAATTAAATTAACTAATAATGAATACAAGCCTATGGTGAAAATAATTCTATCCTCAACATACGACAGGAACTTAATACTTAAAGAATTCTGGTCTAAGAGAGCAAAAATTAATTTAGACGAATACAAAAAAATTATATTTAAAACAGATCTCTGTAGAAGATCGAGATTGAGAAGAAAAAATTTGATACCNGTATGAACACTAGTTTTTCTGTTTATTTATATTTTATATAAATATATAATAATTTTATTTAGTATTAAATTTTTATATATAAAAGATTCATACGGGCATAAATGTAAACACGAATTATTGGTAGGAATTGAATGCGCTCTGTGAAGGAAGCGACTCGTATATATATATTAATCGTATCGACAACAAATAATGTTCTGTAACGATACTCGTTATGGTTTCATCAGAGTATTTTTAGGAAAATAAACACATACTCGTAGTAACAGATATCTTCTGAACGTTTCGCAAACATTCTGGAACTAATTTGCGGACTCCAGTTTAGAAAAAGCCGCTGCAGATTATTCGTGATAGACGATATTGAAGATGTGTTTAATGCATTCTGCATTTTAGCTTAGTTTTGTTTTGATGTAAGTTGGACCATTCTGCTTTAAGGTAAGTTTAAATGTTTTACATAAACATGTACTTCGGTTCATACATTTTAATATATCTCCTCTCAATGTATTTTGTTACTTTCTAAACAGGCTCGCAATCGATATGCAATGGAGAACTTTTTACATGATATTTAGACAAGCTTTACGATCATTTTATACACAGTAAAAATAAACTTTTTATGATTATTTAAATGACCTAAACCATTCAGTTTATTTAAATAGTCGTATAAAATTTGTATTTATAGTTCATCTGACGACTTGCATAAAGTATCAGAACGTTACAAATAGATCATTTGAATATATACCTATATGGAAACAAGTCACGATCACGTTCTACATAAATATCAATGCATTCGAAAATCGCCATTAAAAATTACCTTTGGCGGTAATCTACAAGTGTATTATTTCTATTTTTAACATATTTATACTTTATTTTCTTATTTTATGCACTTTTTCAATTTTAGACATTATTTTTTTACAACTTTCACTGTGATACTATTCAAGTAAAATTCCTTTCCGATTAATATTTAAACGAAAAATTAACTTCTAATTGATTGTACTAATTTATCGTATTGAATACTTGACATTTGAGTTTAATGAAATATCATCATAAATATATTAACATCTACATTAAGATTAATAAATGAAACAGTTTCTTTAACAACTAATAACAGTTAGATAGTTGTAACTAATTCACTTATCTTTACATTAATAAATCATAATTACTTCTTATTTTATGAAATACTTATACAATACGTATGTGTAAAATTTATTTAATATTTGTGTTTTTTTCATAGAAAAGGTTGAATAAGAATTAGATTCGATTTTTATATCGTTTTTTCAAATGAATTATATTGCTAATCTCAGTTCTTAGTGACGGCCTGACTCAATGGATTCGGCAATGTTAATGTATGGAGTATTGATTCATATAACCCAAGAAAAATCACATGAATTCGGAAAGGATTTGAATTTGATCTCATGCCATTCGGAGAGCTTACCTCACGTCTATATGGTTGAAGTCTGAATAAATTAATATCGATTAAATATCCTATTTCGTATTGTTTAGCACGGGATGGATAATTTAATTGTATGATAATCAGTAATGATTTTATGATTGTGAATGATACTGGGGTTTCAGAGAATGCGCAACTCTAGGCAGTGTGAACTTCAGAGGTAACTTTTATATATATTTATGTAATGTAAAGTCCGTATCATAAGATAATATGAAATTTAATACTGTACTGTGTACATAGTGAATGGATCGAGTTTTGACAGACATATATTTGCGAGTTTGAGGTCTCTAAAAGCACGCAGTTTAGCCAAAAGTTTATATTGCGTATTCTTTAAAATCTCACAGATGATTTGTAATGAAAATTTGAACCATCTTAAATATACTCTAG